CAATAGCATGTCTTTATATATAGGCAGGATACGATTAATTTCATAACAAACACGAAATTAAACATGACTTTTGGACTCTTTAACTGGTTCATGATTATATGACTTTTTTTTAATTCTATAACTTGTTCATAATTAAAACTTGATAGTAGCGTGACTTCAGGAGCTTGTAACAGTCTTATATGATGAGACAGTTGCCTTTAACTGCCTTCGTTAATCAACCTATTCGAATCAACCTATTCGAATCAACCTGCAAAACAATGGAGGGAAAATTGCGTGATGTTAACTACAATAAAAATCCTACACTATCAAGTTCTCTAAATTTAAGGACTGAGGAGATCAACTGGGAAGGTATTGACATGGCAGAATTTTTTTTTCAAATATTACCTATGCCTTTTCTATCGTTACACTTTGATATTTTACCAGGCTCTAAAAATATGAAACTACTTAACCTTAGCATTTGACCCGATGGATCTATTTCATATTTGACATGTAAGATAAATTCGGATGCTTTTACATTCCACACAAGTTAATACAAACCAATTTGATGGAAGGATAGACTCCACTTGCTTGGTCTGTACATTATTTTTTATCCTTGGCTATTGTATCTCTTAAATACATTTATTTAATCATGAACCTATTAGCACAGAGACACCTCTAAAAATCTGGCATATGATTCTTTATTGCATTAAGTATGCAAGTTTGCGTGTGCTGGAATCAACCGATCACAATATGGACGTATATGTAATGTCTATGATCTGATAGAGCTCCTGGAAGTGGTTTATGTTATATAAATTGCCCAATGCCTTAAGAGTCTAAGACTAATTTTAATATCGCAACATGTTAAAGCCATGCGAACTAAAAAAGAAAAAAGAAAAAAAGGGCAAAATTTAGATATAGGTTCTCCTCAAATTCCCATCGTGGTATTCTTGGAATCCATACTATAGGTTGCTATTTTATCTTCCATACTTCTCATGGATTTCTATAACATCCTATTTCTGTGAGTGCAATATAGCCTTCTAGCAAGATTTGGCATCATATTAGCACAGTTGATTAACTTTATTTCTACAGGATGGATGATGTGAGTGTTTCCTCATATCATCGGAATATCACATGCTAGCTGCTAGCTCTTAGCTTACCTACTTTCTCGATCATAAATATTTTCACCAGATGGCCTAGTTGATGATTAATGACTTCTAGTTGTGCTGGAGGCAAGTAGTTAGGAAGGGCGATTTGTTGGCTTAGGTGCTCGCGCTTGTCATCTATATGTAACTCTTCGTTAGAATAGACGGTCCTAATGATCCACATGACTCTTTTTCGGGGTTCCAATGGCTTTCAATTGCTGACAGTAGCAAAGCTCGGAGTTTGGTGGTTGGCACAAAATGAATTTCTAGGACTCATAGAAATTTAACATATTGTTGAATGCTGAACAAGAACGTAGACCCTTTTCTAGGATGACTTGGGTCATTTGGATCCTTTTCCTACACTAGGCTTCATATCTCTTATTTCAGTATCATGTATGACTATGTAACTGGTATTGTAGTTTGAAGGCAGCAGGTACTTGTTTTTGTAGAAGTCATTGTTATGATTGTTGCCAAGAGTTTTTTTGTATTCAGCATTACATTTTTGCTATCATCTGTTGCATGATCGACAGCTTTTTAAGGAAAAGGGGTTGAAATATTCCACCTTCTGATCAAAACGATGAAACAAGGGAAGCTACACTAGTAATGAGAACTATCAAAGTCATATGACAGTCTTCACTCCCTATATCATTCTGGCCATTTCGAATGATCCAAATCATCTTGGATGTATGGATGCCAGGCTTATCAAATTGATGCAAACAGAAAGAGGAAATATGTCCAGAAAAAAAATAAAAAACAAACAAAATTGTCATCGTTGTAGAGTACATTTTTTGTTGTGGTGGTGGAAATGACATAAGAGGAAATGAAGGAAACTCATGGAACAATGCATGCAAACGTATGCTCAACCCAATTTTCACTCTTTATGCTGCCCACATTTCTCCTGTCGTTAATTAATTTCGCTTTCTTTATATCTGCCTACTGTGATGTGCAACGCGCATATGAAAGTTTTTTTTTCTTCTCATCATTTTTTTTGTTAGAATTAATATAATACTATAATCCTTGATCCTCACCATAACTTTTGGAGTTTTGGTGTAATGGTTAGAGGAACTAAATTTAAGATAATATCATAGCAACCCAGGTTCAAATCACACCGGCCGCGAATTTTAAGCGGATTTTCTAAAAATTAACACCGCTGCGTGAGTCCAGGTTTTAGCCCATAAAAAAGGGTGTTCAACCTGCGGAGGCATGTTAGAATTAACATAAAACTATAATCCTCGATCCTCACCATAATTTTGGAGTTTTGGTGTAATGGTTAGAGGAACTAAATTTAAGATTTTCCTGTGTGTTTCTTTGTAAATACCAGTCTTCTTCATTATCAATAAATCACGGGTCTAAGCCTTCCTCAAGAAAGCTTATGTCGAAGACTTGTTCGAACATATTTACGATCGAAGTTGAATCCAAGATCTCTTACTCTTTTCCTACATCTTGACATGAATTATTTTACCCCAAAAAAGGCAAGTCATCATATTATGCTGTGAGAACAAATTTGCACACTCTACACCAGATCAATCCGCGTTGCTTTCATTGGAATTCATATATACACAAACTTACAACTTAAAGAAAAACATTTAATTTACGAGACCGTCGAGTAAATCTCCAATCAAATAATTCATGCTAACAAACCCATTCTAGAAATTACCCCGAGTTCGTCGTGTATGATTCAAGACAATATTTTTTTGAAGCTAAAAGAATTTCTCCCCAAAATAAAGAGAACAGATAAAAATAACTATTCATTAAGCAGCTAGTTTCTGATAAAGAACTACGCAAAACTTAGGTCTGCGATAATAAAATCAAAATCAATGAGATCTGACCTCTACTTGCTCGGGTTTGTTCCCTGGACGACGAAATGAGCTCGATTTTGGCTTCACTCTTCTCTACGGCATTCAAATTGCAGCTCCAAAATATTTGTTAGTGGTGAATAAGAGAGTTTTTTTTTTTTTTGGCTCCCTTTTATTTTTATTTTTATTTTTTGGTTTGCTGGTTTGAATTTGGGAGGAAAGCGTCGGTTCAGTTTTTAAAGCGGGTGCATGCCCGCAGAGGCAGAGGCCAACCTTCAAACGGGTCGGGTTTGTGATCAGCTTTCATCCTCGCCCGGACCAACAAAATGTTACATTACGAACTAATTGGGGGCTTGGAATTTGTAAATTACTTTTAGAAAGTTATTTTGATAGTTTATTCTTTACACTATTTCATCTTATTCGATCCTTTTGCTAATTATGAATGACAAAAACCCCTAGGAAAAAAATAGCGAGGAGTTAATCGGTCTTCGATTCAGGCTTCAACTAGAAAATATTGAAATAAATATCATCGTAAACTTTTCTACTCTTGTGATGTTCTTATCTCATCTAAACATGATATACATTAATCAACTTATGTTTTCCTCCTTAATTTAAATCGGTGATTAACAAATGTTCGATTAGCTTTTTGACTAATCAAAGGTTTATCATTTCATCTTCACAAATAATAATACATGTATGGAAAATTGAGAATCAGAAAGTTTATGACTTGATACGAGTGAATCACATCTGATCTATTTTTCATTAAGCATGTAGCAACATAAACAAAAAGACGGTAGTATCCTTGTTGTTGGCTGTGTTGCTGTGGGGGGGCGGGCGGGCCGATTTTGGTGGGAGGGGTGCCAAGTAGCAATTCAAAACTTAAAAACGAGATTATTTTCCCCAGATAAATATTATATTAGCTTAGTCAACTGGAACTAGAACTATAATAAAATTATACAATGTTAGTAAAAGAGAGGGTTCTAGTCTCTTAGATTGACCTAGGTTTTAAGCTAGAACTAGATGGTAAAAAACAGGAACTTTCTTATTTGTTTTTTTTTATTTCATATTTTATTTCTCCATCATCTTCAAGCCACACCATAAGATTAGATCACATATCTTCTTACCCTTCTATTTAATGTTTCTTTTTAAATTATTATTAAATACTAGAATTCTATAATTAATTTAAATTTAAAACACAAAATTCATGTTTTGTTAAAAATTAATTAAAATCAAGAGATAACGGAATGATGTCTACGAGATTGAAAAAGAACAAGAAAAAGAGAAAAGTTTGTTTTTTAAATTTGTATTACAATAATAATTGCAAAAAAAAAAATTAAATAATAATAATATCTTATAGTCTACCGAATAGTTCTCAATATTATTTAACACTAAAGTAAATAGTTATTATTAATAAAAGTAAGTTTTAAAATATATAAATAGTAGTCTTATCATCAAAATGCATGCCTTATATGCTTATTGATTATTGAAAATTATTCTTAATTATACTAACAATTGTTCTTCTAAAATATCCTATTTTAAAAATTTATTCCTAATTATCTTTTAAAAATATCACACTTCAAAAATTTATCCCATACTTAAAATCGTTACACTTCTATAAAAAATAATCTAGTTAGCTAACACCCAAGAAAAAACAAACACAAGTAGAACTGACTTCTTTATAAAGTTAGAAACAGTCCGCTCAAAATAAGTTAACCAACCACTTTTACTAACACTTGTAATTTCACTAACTAATATAATTTTCCATTTTAAAGTAGTTTTTCCCCCAAAAAAAAAAATATTAATAGTGGCGCCATTGCAAAAAACTTAGAAGCTTCTAAAAAAAATCTAAATTTGGAGCATCTTAGGAAAATACATATAGATATCGGATTCATATATAGATTCAATGAAAATGACTCAACTTAATAAAGGAAAATCCTATGTAGATTCAATTCAACTAATAATAAGAGAATGACTCAATTAATAAAGGAAAATCCATGTAGGTATCGGATTCCTATATAGATTCGGACTTTGATCTCAAGCTTCCAACCCGATATCCACTATAAACCCACTACCGTCGTCGCCATCGCCATCGCCCTCGCCATTTCCCCCCCAAATAAAACCGCGAATCAACTGGAAAACAAAACCCTAAAAAAAAAAAAAAAATTCTCTCAAGAAATTTCATAAAAAAACTCCACCAGGATCCTCTCATCTCATCTTCGATCATGGGCTACGAGAACGATCCGTACAATCTCTCCCCCTCCCAAACCCCAATTTCTCAGACTTGTGAAATTAGGGTTTTGAAATTCTAACTTTGGATCTGCTTTCAGGTTGATGGACGAAGACGGCGAGCCCTTGATGGACCCCGATGATGTTCAATCTGATCGAGAGGCGTCCCCTGAAGCTCGATTTGACGACGAAGATGAAGACGATTGGCGAAGGTCTCGATCTCCAACGCCGATCTTGGACGATGACAAGACCGGAAAACCTAGAAAGAGGTTGATCAAGAAGTCAGGAAAGGACGCGACGCCGTCGCCGGTGAGGAGCGAGAGCCCCGGCAATGGGTTGGACGATTGGGATGAAGACCAGCGGGAGGAGGAGGAGGCGAGCTCGTCGAAGAAGAGGAAAGGGTACGATATGTTGAAGACGGGGATGGGGAAAGGCGAGAGCTTTGGGATAAAGGAGAAGAAGAAGAAGAAGAAGGAGAAGGTGGAGAGAGGAGGTAAGGGGTGGGCACCATCGTCGAGTTCGAAGGGCGGGAAGGATCAGGGAGTTGACCCAGAGATAGAGGAGCTGTGGGATACAATTGCTGGCGGCAACTCGGAGGTATAGAATGTGATTTATCTGTTTGTTTGATCGATTCTAGTGGTAGGGTTGTGGATGTTTTTGGCTAGCAGTGTGCATATAGAAACCAGTTCAACAGTTTTCAATTAGCCTCTGCATCTTTAGTAATTGGTGTTAAATTTTATTTCTTATTGACACTTGCTCATTGGAATATGCTGCATGTTCTACAATGTATCGTTTTTGATGGATTCTATTAGTAGGGTGTTGGATGTTTTGGTTTATATTGTGCATTTAGAAATCATTGCAATAGTTTTCGAGTAGAGTTTTGCATCTTTGGTAATTGGTGCTTAATTTGATTTCCTATGTATACTCATCCATTGGAATATGCCGTGATTTCTACACCATTTTTTAGTCGGACGTTTACATTTTGAACCATGTTTTTCTCCCACTTCAATTAGTCGGGTTTTGGATGTTTCATTTTCTTTTGTGCATTTAGAAATGAAATTATTGCTGTAGTTTTCAACTGGCCTTTGCATCTTTGGTTGTTGCTGCATGTGAAATTGAGTTGCTGTTGTTGGATTGGCTTTGCCTATTGGAAAACTATTTGACTGTTGTTGAAGAACCCGTGATGTATTTTTCAGTAGAGAAACACTTAGCTTTGAGAGACGCAATAACAAGATGACCAAAGCCCTTTGTTTCCACTGTAGTGGGCTTCATCATCCTTCTTCTTCATTTTTTTTTCAATCCATTCAGCTCCTTGAAGAGTCATCTCCTCAATTAAATTGACAACTGTCATATCATTGTTAGCATCTTCAGCTCACCATATTTCTTTACTATTAAGTTGACTACTATTTAGCTAGGCTGTTATATCTATGGAAAATGTGTTTTAACAGATGAAAGGGAATTAATAACTGCTATACTTTTGTCATTGGAATAGGATGATCAAGAGGGTCAGAGAACTCTGGATGACGATAACTTCATTGATGATACCGGTGTAGATCCTGCAGATCGATATGGCAGTGACATTGAAGGTTTTGTTGGAAATGCTCCACAGGTTGGTGTTCTTTTGTGTAGTACTGTCTTTGTACTTCACATGTTTGAGGCTTTGAGCTAACCATCTTATTGATATCTTCAATGCCTTTCACATTTTATGGACATTTACTTTGTAAAATGTGCTTAGAAGACAAAAAGATGAGTCATTAACATAGGGCTAGTTATAAACTTGAAAGAACTTGGAAAGGTAAAGCTCACCTTTTTGTTGAATTTGAGGAAACTGAAAGTTTATGACCTGAAAACGAAAGTCTCCAATGCAAATAATTGTAACTATGAGGTCATTACTTAAGAGTCTCTTTTGATTTACTACTGTTTCTTTGTGAAACTTCATACTGTAGGCACACTTTGTTTCAGCTTCGGTCTTATAATTGTCATGTCTATGCACATAATTTTTGATGTTTTTGCTGTTCCCCCCTTTCTACTCTGTTACAGGCAGAAGAAGGTGAGGAAGATGATGAAATTAACAAACTCTTCAAGGGGCGAAAGAAGAAGAAAAATGAGAAAACAGCTGATCTTGGTATGATTGTTGAACAATGCATGGCTGAGCTTGAGGTCATCGCTGAGGAAGATGCCGAATTGAATAGACAATCCAAGCCTGCCATTAATAAACTTAGGAAACTCCCAATGCTCATAGACGTCCTTTCCAAGTTAGTTTATCCTGCGGTGCAAAAATGTTTGCTGTTTCATTTATTTAGTCATCATTTACAGACAGATTCTTTGGACCTCTATATAACTTACAGGTGACCATCTCTTTTGACCTTTCTTACAGGAAAGCGCTGCAACATGAGTTTTTAGATCATGGAGTACTGACTCTTCTAAAGAATTGGCTCGAACCTCTTCCTGATGGAAGTTTGCCTAATATGAATATTCGAACTGCCATATTAAACATATTGACTGATGTATGTTCAAATGCGTTTCCCTTTCTGTTTACAAGAAATCTTAAGCTGATATTTAAGCATGACAACATAATTGTAACATTGAGTTGTGTTACATTTTATGTGTTTCCATTGTTAATATCTTTTGCTTTCATTATTAATCAGTAACTACTTTTTGTGATGCAGTTTCCAATTGATTTAAACCATGAATATACGGAGAGAACAGTTAAAGAAGAAGCGGTCTAGGAAAGGTCTAATTCATACTGTTTGGATATATTGTCATTTATTTTCTGTTTGCAGAGTGATAATCAGTATAATTTCTCATATCCAGGTGATAATGTTTTTGTCGAAATCTGATGAGGAGACCACAGCCAACAGAAAACTTGCCAAAGAATTGGTTGATAAATGGGTAAAGATTCTATAATTTAGTTGTACAAAGTGGAACGACCTACGAAGATTTACATATGGATTTTTACATTCACAATTTCATTCCTAACTGAGACTAGTAAAAAATTATTGATGTATGATCAAGTTATTGATTAGTTGTATGGTTATTGTGTATGAACATTTGCAGAGTCGTCCCATATTTAACAAGAGCACTAGATATGAGGACATGAGAAGCTATGACGACGAAAGAATTCCGTACAGAAGACCAACTGCTAAGAAGTAATTATGATATTCACCCCTGGCTCAGTTCATTCTAACTTCAAGATAATATGCTAAACTTCAGTATTTCATCTATTAATTTTTTTTGGTTTCCTGTTAATATGTTCTTCCAGGCCTTCAAACAAATCTAAGGGGTTGGAATCACGAGATGATGATGTTGACGAGTTCTCACAGTAAGGCTATTTTTTGGCTCACTATTTGTACAATTCACCATAATATTTTCGCACATTTCTCTTTGTTTGTTTGCTGCACGAATAGATTTTCTGTATTACTTGCTTTCTTGTGCTTTACTGAAAGGGGAAAAAATTCCTCAATTGTATTAGGGGTAAAAAATCCGGTCAAGCAGCTGCTAGGCAGCATGCTTCTAGACCAGAAGCAACACCGTTGGATTTTCTTGTCCGTCCTCAGTCGAAAATAGATCCAGATGAAATCAGAGCTCGAGCTAGACAACAAGTGCAAGACCAGCGCCGGTTAAAGGTTAGTTCTGGAGTTGTTTGATGCATGCTAGTTTTGTTATTCTTCTACTTCCAGTGAAACTTCGCATTTCTAATTTGTAGCAAATTGAATTTGCATTGTAATTTATGTTGCATGTGAAGTTTGAAATTGTGTTGATGTGTATGTTGTAGGATCTAGCAGTTGTTTCTTATTATATCGCCAAATTTCATATTTGTATTCTTGAGAGGTAGTGATCTGTCATTTACTGGATCTATCTAGAGGTTATGAGATGATTTGTATAGGCACGCTGCTGCTTATGATGGTATAGGAATTGGTATTACGGATGCATTTATCAGGTTCCACACGAGCACTGGTGCACATGCTTTTATATAAATGTCAACGGGTAGTTTAGAAATTAGATGGACAGTTATTTTTATTGTATCCTAAAAGCAATAATGACATATGGTCTTTAAAGGACAATGAGAAAGCATTGAAATGGGATGCATGCATGGATTAAATCCTGTCATTGCAGGAGCATGATACTTTTTAAGTGCATAAACAAATCCCATAGGAATTGAGCAGGTCTAATCAATAAACATGTTGATGTTTGTGTGGATATCTCAAAAGATGTGCAAGATTATTAGGTATCTGTAGTAGGTATTAATTCATAAGTAGTTAATCAATTATCATGGATCAACTGATAAGAAGGTGTTAGAACTGTGAACCATTTGTGAACATTGGTCGAGGATGGGATTTTAGGAATCTGGAACTGTTGTCACAGAATTTCATGGCATACATCATCAAGCCTTACCTTAAAATATTGTGGTTGAGCTGACAGAAATTTTTAGGGCGCATTTGGTTGCCTCTTCTGGAGGGGGAAATGAGTTGAAAGCCTGCCAAAAATGTCATTTTTGGCAGGCTTTTTTGCAAAAACGCCTCTAAAAGAGGCCTTTCTGCAAGAAAGCCTGCCAAAACTGATACTTTTGGCAGGCTTTCCCCTTCCCCCTTATGCAAACAAACAGCCCCTTAGAAGGCCTCGACATGTTTGTTATGTTGGGAAACATCGAGACACAATTGTAGTTTTGTTAAGTACATTGCTGGTGGAGTCATTTAGAGAGCAGAGACAACTGTTCTAAAGCCTGGTGAGACTGAGAGAGTGCAACTGTGAGGGCAATACCCTTTTTTTATTATAGGCAAGAATATGCAATTATAAAGAGCGGAAAGAGTATGAGGACATTGAAATTGCTCATGGGACACTGTTTAACCAAATGTTTTCTAGGGGTTTTGCCTTTAAACCCAAAGTTAATACTCTCATTTATTTTTAAACCCACTTACCTCTATCTACACTCATACACCCAATCAACTTTCTCTTTTTATCTTTAAGCTCAAAACAACAAATGCATATTATTATATACAACATCTATAAAAGATAAACAAAAAATCTGACAATGTCCTTGTCTTCTTCCTCCTCTCTGTCCATAACCCATTCTTCTCCTCTTCTCGCTCCACCTCTTCAGTTGGGCTTCCCTCCACCCTCTACTTCGCCCTCCTCCCTCTCCTCTGCGACCTCATCCTGCACTTTCCCAAACCCCCACCACCTCCACCTATCACTTCTCCTATTAGAGCTGTAGGTTGTAAGTATAGCATGTTAAGTTGTTCGGGGAGAGAGAGAAAGGATGAGGCGGTGGAGAAGAGTAAGGAATGACAATCGAGAGAGTGAAGAGAGGCCCCGTTGAGGAGGCAGAGAGAGCGGAGAGAGTGAGAAAAGGGAGAGGAATTGGTTATGGACAAAGAGAGGAGGAAGAAGACAAGGGCATTTTGAGGTTTTTGCCTTTTCTTTTTTAAATATTGTATACAAATATGTATTTGATGTTTGGAGCTTACAGATAAAAGGAGAGTTTTTGGGTATGTTAGTGTAGATAGAAGTCTTTTAAAAATAAATGATGGCAAAACTTTGGGTGTAAAGGCAAAAACCCCTATTTTCTAACTAGACACGTCAGCCATCTGTAATTGCTTAAGGATTACACAGATGACATAAAGACGCGGTCCAGTTTCACATCAAACTAGCCCAATGTCACGAAAAAATATCAGCTCTAGTATTTAGGGTCGTGAAGTTTATCGCCTACACATACACGGGCATATAACGAGTCTAGAGGATAGGTCCAAACCTGGTGACTTTCACATAGGGGGTTCAAACTCGAAATGGACATCACCATTATAACTATCGAAAATTCAAAAAGAAACCGTAGTTCCCTCAATTCCCTTTCCTTACAAAACTAAATGCGGCTGAGGAGGCTTCATCAACGGAATATCAAGGTTGTGATGGGCAATGCCATCAAGATCAACATACTGACCACCGGAGGCGAGTATATATCCAGTGATTTTCAATTTCTTTCCAAAGCTTGTCCTGTGAATATCTTGAATTATACCTTTTTGAGTTTATATTATTTGTAGTT